ATTACTCAATTAAGAAAGTGAAAGTCCCTTTTGCAGATTTCAACATTGTATTTCCCTCAAAGACTCATCTCTAATTTTTGGAAGGAGTCATATTTCTTTGTTTAAATTTTTTTTTGAAGGACTCATATTTCTTTGTTTAAAAAATTCATCAAATTAGACCCCAACGTGTTCAATTCACTGCAGTTATCACAGTCCAAATTGTAATGGACTGCTCAGCCATGGAGTTAATACCAGTGTGTTCGTAATCTAAAACATTGGCAAAGAAAACTTTTTTTTGTGGATGAAAACTGAAGATTAATATCAGCACATGATATCATTCCTTTATTATTGTTATTATTATTGTTATTATTATTATTAAATCTTGGATTTGATGCAGCATTCAAACGTCTCAAAATGCTTCACAGGCCGGACTGATTATTGATTCACAAATAGTTATTTAGATCTTGAATGTACATGAAAATGATCAGCCCAGTTGTACATGGTTCAATCAGCATGCAACAAAATATAATAATAATGATCCTTAATAATCCTTGCATTTGATATAGCTCTTTATCATGTCTTCAAGACGTCTCAAAGTGCATCACAGAATATACTGCGAAGTGAATTGACTGTATATTTTGTGGGCGAAACGCGGCAGTCAATTGCGCACAGCAGTGTCCCACAAACAGTCGTGGACTGAAGTGACCAATTTATTATTTTGTTTTGAAGGAATTATTAACCCCGGAAAAGCGATCCGCCAATGGACTTACAACTGGGTTTCTACTTGCGGCTAGGTAAATAGAGGTGTGTAAAGTAAGGAAATGTGCCTAACATTTCGCCCTGCTGGGAATATGGAGCAAACGCAGGGTTCGTTCCTATATAATAACTGCTCGGAACTCAAAATTGGGGATTTAAATAGAGGCACAAGAATCCAAGAATCTACAATAAACATAGCAGTCATGTTCATTATTATCCCAGACATGTGTTGATGCAATGAAGGCTGACATGAAGTGCTTCGAGACATCCATCTGACATGAAAGGCGGTGTACCAAAAAATGTAAAGATTACTAAGAGAGAATTAAATATCGCTTCGGGTAAGACAATGAGTTCAACTGACAATAAAAATAATCCTTACATTTGATATAGCGCCTTTCACATCAAGGGTATGTCTCAAAGTGCTTCACAGGATATACTGAAAACTGGAGTGATTGTTTGTTTAGTGGGAAAACTAATGTGGTATAGCTCTGGAGATTAAGGTTTTACTTAGCTTGGAGTAATCAGAAGAAGGTCTCTTTATAAAGAGTGACTGGGGTCATAAGTGATATGTTTCACTCTCCTTTAGGTCAATGTGGATCAAATGTGGAAAAGCTCCAGTAGTTTCATCCACAAAATATACAGTCAATTCACTTTACAATATATTCTGTGAAGCGTTTTGAGACGTCTCAAAGACGTGATGAGGCCCTATAATAATAATAATAATAATCCTTGCATTTGCTATAGCGCTTTTCACGTCGGGAGGACGTCCCAAAGCGCTTCACAGAACACACTATAAAGTGAATTGACTGTATATTTGTGGGCGAACGCGGCAGCCAATTGCGCACAGCAATGTCCCACAAACAGTCGTAGATTGAAAATGACCAATTTAATTATTGTTTTGGGTTTTTGGAGGGATTATTATTAGGCGTGTGGAGTAAGGAAACTTGCCCAAAGTTTCACCCTGCCTGGAATTGAACTCAGGTCTCTCACTTGCAAAGCAAGTGCTCCAGCCACTGAGCTACAGGACTCCACAAATGACTCTATAACAAATGCAAGGAATATTATTATTATATATTTTAAAAGTCATATTCAAGAGCCCTGCAATCTGAGGCACACCTTCATCTAGCTGAAATCATATCAGCAATGTTTAACTGTAAAGAGAAAACATATAGTATTTATTTTAATCGATTCGTAGATACACACAAACAGGAACACACAAAAAAGAACAGAGGTTGGTGGCAGGTAAGTGTGACATGTACATTCCCCAGTTACTTCTGGGCATTACTTGCAAAAGTCACAAAGCCAGAAGTGCTTTGGTGAAAAGGTCATATTGAATTAGACACATCCTCACTCTACAGTTACTTTCTATAAAGCACTGCAGATATATTTTATTCTTCTCTCCCCAACTTTTATTCTGACTGTGGCAAAAGGCCAGTATCATATCACAGAAAAATGATTTCACAAGTGAGGAGACCATAACAGATAAAGAGCAATGGGGGTCTGACAACAAAGGCTGTCAAACATTACAGATCCACATTACAGTACAAATGGAGACTATTTTACCCTGGTCACATAAAATTACATCTTTCTCTCCATATATTAATAACGGAATGAAATATAATAATAATACAACTTGTGGAACAGGGCTGTCCTTCTGAGGTAGAGGTAGAAAGTACATTGTTGGAGCAATTCAGAAGCAACTTTACCTGCACCTGCTCCTGCTTTAAATCATCTGATCTGGGAGAATTTGGTGCTGGTGAGAGAGTTATTATTTCCCTTCCGCTTACTACAAGTCTTTCACTGTGTGCCTCAAATGGTATATTGTACAATTGGAGTTTTCTTACAATGAATCTTCCTATTGTAAGCACAGAATGGAAGATTTACTACACTTAATGAACGGCATATACTGGTCACCATTGTGTTGGATGTAAGTACTGTAAAAGTGTTCCATTACCCAGCACTCACACCCCAATAAGCAAAAGTCCATTAGCAAATAATTATTTTGGACAAAAAGCTCTTTATAGATAAGAACACAAAACAACTCTAAATTATTTGGTTTCCAGCTGGTATCGTTTTCTCCTTTCCAGGTTCAGTGCTTTGTTGTTGTGTTTACTGAAGGTAACAACTGCCTGAAAGCAAAAGGTTTTACCCACACAAAGTGGAGGAATTCAACATGATGTTATGCATTAAATTGTTTCAAAATTGTTAGTTCTAGGAAGTAGGCAGTACAGTGTTGACAACATACAGCACAGCACAGCATATTACACACTTAATACTGCCTCAATAATGTGTTAAACTAAAATCCAAGATTCATATAAAGTTGATAGCACAGAAGAAGGCCATTTGGGGCATTGTGTTCGTGCTAGGTAGCTTCGCATAGTGGAGCTACTGACTTTAACCTTATTCCCCTGCTCTTTGCCCATTCCCTTTAATATTATTTATCCTCATGAACAGCAAACCTTCCACAATGCCAGTGTGACACTTCAAATATTCACACAGCTATGAGTCTTCTGCCCTTTTGTCCATTGGCTGCCGCATTTGAGCACAAAACACACACGCACTGCACTTTACTGTTCCGCACTTATGGAGTCCTGTAGGGTATTGGTTAGAGCACTCGCCTTGCAAGCGAGAGGACCTGCGTTCGATTCCCGGCTGGGGCGAAATGTTAGGCAAGATTCCTTACTCCACACGCTTCTGTTTACCTAGCAGTAAGTAGGAACCAATTGTTAATCAATTGGTGGATCGCTGTTCCGGGATAATAATCCCTTAAAAAAAATCTAAATAATAATTGGGTCACTCAATCCATGAATGTTTATGGGATACTGCTGTGTGCAATTGGGTGCCATGTTTTGCCCACAAAATATACAGTCAATTCAATTTGCAGTATATTTTGTGAAGTGGTTTGAGACATCTCAAAGACGTGATAAAGTGCTATATCAAATGCAAGGATTATTATTATTATTTACAGTATATGTTAAAAGAGACAAATTGCAAGCATAAACCTACATAAAGCTTGAAAGGAACCCTGTTTGATGGACCATCTGACCGTGTATGAAGGCTAAAGTAGATAAAGCAGAACAACAACAACAAGAACAACAAGATTACATTTGTATAGTGCCTTTCACAACGGGAGGATGTCCCAAGGCGTTGTAAAAGCAGTAAAAGCAAAAAAAAAGCAAAAAGTAAAAGCAAAGCTAGATATGCCGAAGATGAATGATAGGACAGCATGACATGCTAAAAGATACAAATCATAAACATAAGTCTATATAAAGCCTGAGCAAAAGACCAAAGCCAGGAGAATATTGAGATCTTGTGATCGCCCTTCGTTGACCCCAGGCAGCTGCAACTTTATTCTTGCACAAGCTCAGAACGATACATAAGTGTGTGCATTTTATTAGCTGTGACACTCAAAAGGAACAAGAGGCATATAATAAACACCTGTTGTTGAAACCCGAATTGTGCCTTTTGAAGTATTCTTGCGGAGTGTAATCTCAGAGCATTAACTTGCTCTCGAGCCCATGTATGAACATAACCAAAGTCTCCTGACATGAAAGGTACAATAATATTATTATTAATAGTAGTACTTTTGTACTCTGACCTCAAATACACTTGGAACAGCCTGGACTGGACTGGTACCATGCCAAGGTCCAATTGCAGAGCTGAAATAACCCAGTGTTAACCCAGTGTAACCCAGCCCCATTCCTTTATTGCTTACCACCTTTTTTTGATGATTTTATCTTTCTCTCCTTCTTACCATGGGAGAAGGGAGGGAGGAACTGAAGAAAGAGGAAATACAGTAACCCGAGAGAATGTCAGAAATACCAGAACAAATAAACATCAGAATCATGGAACTTAGTAGTTAAATTCTTCGATGAGTAAAAATAAACAAAAATGAACTCAATGCGTGTGATTGCCATTAACTCTCTACCGACTATTTTTGAATTTTAAAACGTTTTGATTTCTTTCCATGGATGTTGTAAACTCATAGAAATTTAGGTGTTGTCAGAACAGCATCCCCCGGAGTCTTTCTCGATAGATGTCAGCAAATACACGGCACTGGCACTACAACACAAGCACATGCACAATATCAATCACGTGACAGGAAGAAGCAAATCGCAGGGTTATTGTTTAGTCACTGTTCTTGTACACGACACATTGCACATACTGTCTATACACACAGCGCTTTCAGGCAGAATGAACGTCTCAAAGCGCTTTCATCTATATTATTCTTTGTTGGTCAAGTTTGTATGCAAAACGCCAGTTACCTCGGGGATAGTCTACATCCACGTTGTATGTAGCCATTCAATTTGCCTGTTGATGCAAGCAGAAGGCCTAAATATGGTGGTGAAGGCTTCATGGGCCTGGAGGTGAATTCTGGGTGGAACTGTACTCCGACAAAGTATTGATGGCCTGAAAGAAGGAAAAAAAAGGGAAATTTGAGTCATAAAAATATAAGAAATATATAATCCTGTAGTACAGATAAAGGGTTGACAATGCCCTTGTTGGGGAAAACGCAGCATAAATTGTGGCTTGTACCAGAGAAAAAAAAATATTAATATCAGTTGTAGTTCTTTTGTAAAGGAGCAATATCCATTAACATTTTTTCTAACAAGCACATTCATTGATTAGCATTGTACTTTTTGAAGAAATAAAACTAAAAACTTCTGATGAACCGCCAGACCTGAAATGCTGGTCCATTTTTTGCCCTAAATGCTCTAGATCTGCTGTGACGTCCCTTTCTGCTTCAAATAAGTATTTTGTGAGCAGATTACCTTCAGATAAGCACCACGATTAATGGGAATGCAAGCTCCTTTGTTTGGCCCATGCGTAAACCGATGTTTCCTAATATTGCTTCACAAATCTATCTCAACAGTTTTGCATGTAGAGATAATGGTTCAGATCCAACCTGAGAGGAATTTATTTCTTTGAGAGTCTTGTACTTATATGAATAAACCAGATGTTCCTTTTCAATTGGAATCACACTGACTGCAAGAGATACGCTAATGAAACAGAAAAACAGCAAATCAATCTTTACTAATGAGCTCCCAGCTTTGATGTCCGTGTTGCGCCTCGAGCAATCAACTAAATCACAAATCATTCCGTCTCTATGAAGTTGTCAGCTTAGAAATATTAATTATTTTAACATTCTCTTCAAAGTGTGTCTTGCTTCACACCAGTAAAACCATAGTTTCGACCTGTGTGACGTGGGTGCAAATTGTCCCCGTAGGTCCTGCTTGAACAGGGAATCACTTGATTTGGAGCTTAAGAGATCTCAACAAGATGATAAAGCACTATGTCAAATGTAAGGATTATTGTGATTATTATTAAATAGAATTAAAACATCTGCCATGATCTAATAAAATGGCAGAACAAGCTCAAAGGACCAAATGTCCTACTTCTGTTCCTGCATGTAAATCCAGATTGGTTAAGTCAAAACAGAAACCCCACTCCTGATCACAATACAACAACAACAACAACAAGATTCCATTTATAAAGCGCCCTTCACGTCAGGAGGACGTCCCAAGGCGCTGTACAGTTGGGTCATGACCCGAGCAGGGGGGAAATGGTCAGGGTGAGGGGAGGGAAGGGAGGGAGCGAGGAGGGGGGAAATGGTCAGGGTGAGGGGAGGGAAGGGAGGGAGCGAGGAGGGGGAAGAGAGTCGAGAGGGGAGCTGAAGGCACGGTCAAAGAGAAAGGTTTTGAGACCGGCCTTGAAGGAGGAAAGGGAGGAGGCGGCGAAGGCACTGGGGGATGGAGTTCCAGAGCCTGGGGCTGAGAGGCTGAAGGCCCGACCACCGATGGTAGGGCGGTTGGGGCGGGGGACGTGGAGCAGACCGGAGCCAGAGGAACGGAGGGTACGGGCAGGTAGGTAGGGGATAGTAGGTTGGAGAGGTAGGAGGGAGCAAGGCCGTGAATGGCCTTGTAGGTGAGGATGAGGATCTTGAAATCAATCCTCTGGGGGATGGGGAGCCAGTGGAGGCGAGCGAGGGTGGGAGTGATGTGGTCCCGAAGCCTGGTGCGGGACAGTACACGAGCTGCAGAGTTCTGAATGACACAACTCTGCAAGCTCAAAGTATTGGGTTTTTGTATCATATGGGGCAAAGTCCTGTAGCTTAGTGGTTAGAGCACTCAATTCACCAATGAGAGGACCTGGGTTTGATTCCTGGCAGGGTGAAATGTTGGCCAAGTTTCCTTACTTCACATGTCTCTGTTTACCTAGCAGTAAGTAGGAACCCAGACGTTAGTCATTTGCCGGATCGCTTTTCCGGGGTAATAATCGCTTAAAATTTTTTTTTTAAATTAATAATAATTTGATCACTCAATCTATGACTGTTTGTGGGACACTGCTGTGCGCAATTGGCTGCCGTGTTTCGCCCACAAAATATATACAGTCAATTCATTTTACAGTATACTCTGTGAAGCACTTTGAGATGTCTCAAAGACGTGATAAGGTGCTATATCAAATGCAAGGAGAATTATTATTATTATCATTATTACAATAAAGTCCACTTTCAGAAAAGACTTTTGAGTGAGAACTAAAAATAACTTTAGTGTCATTCACTTATAAAATGTGAGAACCCATTGTACTGTGAAACTTCAAGTATCAGTCAGAGGTAGAATGGCGTCTTTCTAAACTGTAAATTCTTTCTGATTCAATTACAATCAAATCAGTGTTCAGTCCTCAAGTTCTATATACTGTGGATTAGTGGTTAGAGGACTTGCTTCGCAAGCAAGAGACCTGGGTTCGATTCCCGGGCTGGGTGAAACATTGGGCATGTTTCCTTACTCCAAACGCCTCTGTTTACCTAGCAGTAAGTAGGATCCTGGCTGTTAGTCGATTGGCAGATCGCTTTTAGGGGTAGTAATCCCTTCAAAAAATATATAAATAAAAATAATAATAATAATTTGGTAATTGTTTGTGGGACACTGCCGTGCGCAAATGGATGCAGAGTTTTGCCCACAAAATATAGTCGATTCATTTTACAGTATATTCTGTGAAGTACTTTGAGAAGTCTCGAAGACATGATAAGTCTCTATATCAAATGCAAGAATTATTATTACTGTAGTGACTCCATGCAATGATTTTCCAATGAGGCTAGAAGAAATTTGCATACACCAAACCCAGATTCACTCTCAGACTCAGTCATTCTCCAAAAAAACATTCTTTAACAGTTAAAGTCAAATAAATATTTACTGCTGGTGGTGATGTTGAACTTCAGCTACTTGAGCTCATGTTTTTGACTTGTGTTTTGATGACAGTTTCAAAAAAGTCATTAAATGCAAGTGACAGAAAAGGTTAGAAAAAATCTTGTTCTGACTTGCTCAGCAAGACGATAATACTACAATAGGTATTCCGCAAACATGTTTCTCATCTCTGGTTGTTTTTTGTTCACTATTACAGGTTTCAGTGGTAGATAATTTGTTTGTCAATGATCCAATCTACATTGAGTAGTACAGTAATTCTTTCATCAAAAAAATAAATTATTTTGAACTTCTATGCAGATAAATATATATAACTTTAAATAAATTTATTCATTAGGTCTTGCATTCCTTGCTATTAATGAGCTGTGTGCGGCATTGAAAATCACTACAGAAAGAAAACATTCAGCATTGATGTAAATTTGCGGTACTTTATTCCTTTGGCATTGCTTTGAAGCAAATTGCATACAATTCATTAACATATATATCGGGGTCTATCACAAGCCTTTCGCTGATAGTTACTTGTTTATAATGGGATTCCACGTAGGAAAAGTGTACATTAGAACACTGCATATAGTGATTTTTCATAGATGATAAGCTGCACATCAACTGCACATTACTAAACACGAATCAATGCCAATTGTTATAAACGACAAAGTCAATTATGGAGACATTTGTAATTATAAAGAAATTCAAATTCTGCATAAGGCAAACGAGCACCATGTTAAATATCAATAAATTGCATTTAACAGGGATTTCACATAAAATAAACATTTAGGGAGCGACAAGCGGGGAGAAAGGAGAATCAAGGACGTTTACAAAAAGCACAGTCAAAAAGATATGATTTTAGAAGGGTTGTGAAGGGTTAGTTTCTACATTACCATTTTGGTTTAGATACCACTTCTGTAATGATATTTAGTTCCTGCGCAGAATGGCACTGGGCCATCTTGGCATCAGGAAAAATTGGCAATGGAAGGTGCTGGGTCTCATTGCTGTTGCAATGATGTTTTGCACTATGGGTTGTGTTCATAGGCTGCCAGGCAGGTCTCTAGTAGGGCTCCTTTATCTCATTTATAAAAACTGCTGAGAGTAATATTCTCATTATACTGTGCCCATCTCATAGTTGAGACTGATTAAACAAGTGTTACAATCTGTGTAGTGCATTCACAACCACAGGGAGCTGGAGAAGAACTTCAAAAGCCCAATTCGGTTGGATTATTGACATCTGTCAGGTACTTATCCCCAAGTTTATAGAGATTTCCCCTAGAAATAAATGCTGAAATAGACTGAGAGTCGTTCATCATTTGTCACTTGAGTTGAACTGTTGGAATTCCTGCTCCTAAAAAAACTTAATTTCTGCACCTCTTCCACAACCCCTGTGACAGCAACAGTTTTTCTTATGTTAAATGTATAGTCTATTCCCCTTTTTTTAACTATTATTTCTCCTGCTTCAAACACTGCAATTGAGATAATCAGGAGCCAATCTTAATATGTATTTTATTGCAAACCATACAAGTCCTGATCTTAGTATAATACATAAACACACTGAATGTCAGATTCCACAATACATGTATAGAATTTTTTCCCTTCAAGTGACACTTAAGGCTCATGGCTTGATATGACATATATAGGCTTCCCTGGGGTTAAAAAAACATGGCAGTTTTGCTGTTCAAGCACTTTTTCGAGTGGACTGAGTCTTCCTGGAGGATGTTCTTTCTACTACCACATCTGACTTGGTTTCAGGGGCAGCATCTATGGAATACAATAGTATCATTCCGCATTAATTTATCAACTTGGAATAAATGAATAAGTTGATAAATTAATGTGGCATGATGCTATTATTTAAACTGTCTGAAAATTTTTTGTTAACTTGTCAAAGAGGGAATATGGAAAAAGACTTGCAGGTGACATGAAGGATAATAGAAAATGCTTTTATAAATACATCAAGCAACAGTGGTAAAGAGGAAGGCGGACCTATTAAAACAGAAGATAGGGGCACTGTAGAACTGTTCAATTAATATTTTGCTTCAGTAATCGCAACAAAGAAGGATGATTTGATGTCAGGTGAACAGGGAAACTGGAGGCTAGCAAAGGGGAGAAGCTTGAAGACCTTACATAATGGTCTCCCCGCTAGGGTATTGAAATAACTGGAAATATTATAAATGCATAATATATAATCGTTCATAGCTCAATGGATTCATAAAATACACA